TTCACTTGCTAGCAACTTGTTAGGGCTGAAAAAAAGCTTCTAAAGCACAGCTGAGAGTCGGAGGGAGCAAGCAAAGCGTGGAAGATCACTTCACTTGCTAGCGCCTTGTTAGGGCTGAAAAAAGCTTCAAAAAAGCTACATTCCGAGTATATATTTTCAGCCTCTTTTAGGAATCAGTGACTTCTAGTCTATGAAGGACCAATACTACTACAGCCAAATATCCTTTAACATGGAAAAGTAGGAGAAAGAAATTTAAGAGTTTAAACATATGGGCATGGATATATAAAGACTGACTGCTTTGCACTGCAGTAGGCAGTCAACTCTTTTTAGAACTTCATTCTTCTTGCAATAAAAATCCTAAACTTGCCAAGTCATATTCGGAAATTCTCTGCCAAGTATAATCAAAACCTGAATTAATATTTATCCAGAGATTTGTAATTTATTCATAGCTCAGTGGGAAGCCTGGCAGCTAATGCTGCATGGTGGCTATGAAACTGGTACGTATATATGTATGTACCATGTTTCCCAGAAAATAAGAACTTGTTTCATAATTTTTTTGCCACCAAAAAAGGCACCAAGTATTATGTTCGGGGGGAGGGGGAGGGAATGTCAACCACTGACTCACCTCACTTGTGCATGTCGCACACTCCTTTTCGCTGTCAGAGGCCTTCAGGAACTTCTTCGGCTTCATATAGTTGCAGCCAGGCCTCGCACACCTTGGCCCATTTCTTCTGCAGCCAGCAAGGCATTCCTGAAGGCCTCTGTAGCCAACAACAGAGCTCCAGATCAATCCAGAGCTCTCTTATCAGTTAGAGAGGCCTTCAGGTGTGTGAGGCCTGGCTGCAACTATCCGAAGGTAAGTAATAGGACAGCTCCACCCCTCCATCTCCATCCTAGCTCAATTTTTACCGTGCACCCTGGAGTGGGCAGGGTCTTAATTAGGGCTTATTTGGGGCATAGGATTTATATTGGGTGCATGTGTAAAAATCAAGCTAGGACTTACTTTCTGAATAGATCATATTTTCTGGGAAACACAGTATGTATGTATTTGTTTATATATATTATCTATTCATGCAATTTCTACAGCCTATATCATCTCATATTTGAACATTACTCTAAACTCTTCCACCAAGCCTCTTTTTTTCTGTTAAAGGGAAGGATAAGTGGGAAGAAATGGGGAAAATACACCTGCACAGTATTGTTCACAATTTCCTTTATTAAGGTAAAATTCATAGCTTATTGTTTCCTTTATTCTTGCAAAAGAGATTACAAATTATATTGAGAAATAGCAGAGGTGCTTGGGGGAGGAACAGAAAAGTTATACTGGTGGTTGAGCTATAGGACAGAAACACTGTGCCTTTTTTATGTGTGTTGCATGTAAAAAGAAAGGGAGGGTCAATCATGTGGCCATTAAAGCCATTTTGACTTTAGTTTTCTACTCTCCCAATCCCTGGAGAACCAGAAGAAGAGAGAAGTGGTTTCTGTGAATAAAGGGAACATTGGAAAAGGTGAAATATATATTTTTAAAAGTTTCTACTAAATTCTGAAGCAGCAATAGATTCCAAGGAAAAAAGACATATGGCACTTAAAAAAATACAGTATATTAGAAAAACTGAAATTGAAAAGCTACTGTCAAGTTTGAAGCACGCATGCAACCATTATCACTTCTCAGCTTGCCAAAGAACCAAATGGGGGGGAGGGAAGGGCGAGATAAAATTCAGGCTCCAGATTTCAAGAAGATGAGCTGTGAGAGCCAAGGACATTCTGGCAGGTGTTCGCCAAGACCAGAGACTTTTTCTCATAACAATATAATGACACTCCATTGGACAATGTGACCTGGACTAATAGAGGGGAGGGAGAAATCTATACTGTCATTATGTGGGTTTGCACGGGAATTAGGTAGAGCTGGTTTTGCCTTCAGCAGTGCCAAAATGATGTACTCAATAAAATTTTGCATTCAGAGATTGGAAGGTCTCGCGCATGCTTGTTTTGGTTGTGTCCATCAGTCGGAACATTGACTGCTATGTCAGTGGTATCCTGTGTTACTTACCAGCCTTCCAAGATGCAAGACTGGCTGGAGATTTCAGTCAAGGATCTTTTAGAAAGAAGAATATCCTATTCTTAGAGCCCAAGAATAGTACCATGCATCTCGTGCTATTGATTATTTTTACATAAATACATTAAAGCCAAAAGGGAAAAATCAGGCAAAAAGAAAGCAAGTATCTTCTTCAAACTGCAGCTATCTTTGGAGCATAATGCTATAAATAAAGAAATATAACTGGACTCCAGTTACCTTGGAGTCTGATTATAAGGAAATATATATTTAATAATATAGTCAGAAGAATATTATTTGTTACAAATGATTCTTTCTGCAAATGAAAAAAGAAAGATTACTTTTCAAGTTCTACTTAATATCAATTAATTTATTCTGGTTATTTTATTTTGTTTACTCAATTAATAGATTAAATGAGATTATTAGATTAAATTAATTGAATATGTAATCTTGTAGTCCTTAAAGAAGCATTTAAGGATTCATTGGCTGCATAAGAATTTGTCTTCTAAAGTATGACGTGTAAATATTGCTGGGCAAAATTTGAATATATTACTTTATGTTTTGCAAAAGAACTTTTTAAAAGGGCTTGAAGGCTGCTCATTGTTAACTTCATTGAACAAGATACATTTTTTCCAAGTAATTTCACTCAGGACTATGCTCAAGTCAAGGTAAGTGAACCTAGAGACAATTTGCTCAGTCCCTTGATTAATCATCAGAATGTTTAGAAAAGTTATACATGCCCACTTAATTTAATTAATATACAAGCAATAATGCCTCTCCCTTCGAATGTCAGTGATAATGACATTCACAGCTTTACTTTCTTTAAGTAACTCTTTTGTCCTCAGTGAGAGCTTTCACCATTAACGTGTGCAATTTATTGTCAAAAAATATGATGATGGCTTTAAAAGAGGATTAAATGAATTGACAAAGGAGACGTTTGTCAAGGGCCATTAATTCTGAAAATGCATTGTTACCTTTGAGTTGGGAATAGCATCCAGGGCCACAGTGGTGGAAAATAATTACATCTCCATCTCCTGCTTATGAACAGAATCATCTAGTTGGGCATTGTGCATAGTAAATGCTGAAGTAGATGGTCCTTGGACTGATGCAAGAAAAATTATCCCATGTTCTTTCAAAACCTCTAGCACCCAAATTCTTTCCACATTAAGATTATTTATATTGCTTGGCACTTGATATACAAACTGCTATGTTTCATTCATACATTCATTTCCTACAAAGCATCATCATGACACTGTGGTTATATCACTATTGTCTTCTTTGTATCAAAGGTTTTTAAAATTTGTTTCCTGGTTGCCAATTTTTTCCAAAGCATTCTTTATTCCAAAGAACGGGCTGCATATTATAAGCTGATTTACCTTTTCCCATGCAGATAACTTTATTATATCTATTAGTATGGACTGAAAATGCGATACACTCAATTTGGCATTGAAACACATCAAGAGGTTGGGGAGAGAGAATTGTTGCAGTGTACAGGAATTCATTTTCTCTCCACTTGTAGCCCATAATAAGCGCTCAGGACAACTTGTTTGGGATTCTAAAAGTGTCTTGCTCAATTTGTTATTCATGAGTCCTCCTACCTGAACTGATGGCAATACTCTACAGCTGAAGATCCCTAAATGCTGGTTCTGGGTGACTTCAACATACAGGCCAAAACTGGCCTGGTTAAAATAGTTTAGGATTTCACAGGACAAACACAGATCTTTCCCAACTTCTTACCCGCCTGACATGAATAGCTGCCTATACTTTTTGGTTTTTGCTCTTTAGTTTTAAACTTGCATAAGTGATTTTTCTCTATAGAATAAGATGGAACTATTGACAGGGTCTGTCAAATAGGCTTAGAGAGAAGAAATACAGATCATTTTAAATGCAGAAAAGGCCAACGTGATGGCTCCTGTGCCTACTTTGCAGAGAACATCCAACTTTCTGATAATTATTCAAATTGAGACTAATGAAGAAAGATAGGTCCTGCCTGAAACACAGGTGGAAGTAATTTAATCCTAGCAAAAGTTCATTATCAAGCCAATTCAGGGCTGACAGTGGAGGGAAAAAAAACCCGGCACAGTTCATCTTTCTCATTGTGTCATCCTAAATTAGCATGGTTTTTCCAAGAGGTTTAGATTTCTTGGAGTCAAGTCAAACAGGTGATTTAGCAGAATCCTCAGTAGATCACTATGCTGTGTTTGTACAAAATCTGGAGGGGAAAAAACATTCTAAGCATTTATAATTACTTAGATTCTGCAGCTTTATCAGGTCAGTTGTTCTGTGCAGAGAACACTTTGCTTGGATTCTTTTGAATGAATTTTATTCTATAAGGTTTGATGATATGCATAGGCATCTGTTCAACACTTGCTCCTAAGGATTTATTACAATGAGTAAGAAGGTCAGCTGGATTTAATTATAAATTCCTCTTTACAAGAAGGAACGCTCTCAAACCCAGTAAAATAATTCATAATGAGACCACTCCTAAGAAAACCATAATTATACCCAGAAGATTTACATAATAACTGCAAAACTGTACCTAAAATAACTTTCCTAGACAGTGTCCCACTTGAAAACTGACCAACCTCAATGGAGGTTTAGATTCATTTCCATCAGAATTTAGAGCTGAAAATGGCACTGAAACAGATTTGGTTACCATGTGGGACGATCTTTTCTAAGAGAAAGTTGGAGAATGCAACTCAGGTGACTCTACTTACTCCTCAGAGGCTTCCAATATCATTATTATTACTACCATACCATTATTTCAATACCGTAATCTTTTGCACCACGATGATAAGGCTGAAAACTTCCCACCTGAAACTTATAATTAATTTCCCTCTAAAAATATATGATTTGGAAAAGCTCTTTGAAAAACCGAGCCCCACTTTTTTTTAAACAACAAAAAAGTCTAACAAAACTTAGAAGAAAATAGTGAAAAGATGGTTACCTGCTGCTGGCCCCATGTACACACTGGAATCATTGCTGTCTCCACCTTCTTCCCATAAATACTGAGACTGGAGGACCTTGGAGTCTTCCTTTTCCTCACTGAAAAAGCCTGAACCAGGTGAGACTTGCAAGGCACCAGGACCAAAATCGGACTCCGATAATTCTAGGTTGGTCTGTTCACTGGAATCCAGAGACTTAAAGTGGGACAATTTTATGAAGTCTGCCAAAGAAGTTGAGCTCAGACCTTCAGTACCAGAATCTTCTGACATAGCTAGGCAAATGCATAGGCAACCTGTTAAAAAAAAACCACACCAGTTTTAGCTTGTGTGAACCTAGAAAGAAAAAGAAAAAAGCATTGTAGGGCCTCAAAAACAGCCTCGTATGTAGAAACTATAAAATATCAGGCTGTGGAAAACTTTATTAAAATTATTTTTATATTACTTTGTTCCCAAGGTAAATGCACAATAATGATGATGGATAGACTATCTGGGAAAAAGTCATTCTCAAGTGGAAAAATTATATTGTATTTACAGCTGAGAAAAAATAATACATTGCTACCATGGAATCAATTTGAAGAGCTTTAAACAATGCACAAACTCAGGCAACCCTGTATATGTGTACATTGAAATGTCTATTTGCCCTCAAAGGGTTTCAAAGAAATATTAAAATGCTACCCATAGTTGCATGGGTTTCTGGCTGTATGCACGGATGTAACCACATACATTCAGAATCATTTGTGACAATATTTGTATCTCTCTAATTCCTATTGAACATGGAAAATTAAACAGCATCAAAGTCATAGTCACATTGCTTCTTAAAAGAACCATATCATTGTCGACTTAATTTCAAAGATTGTCTCTTGTAAATCTATACTTTTTTCTGAGATTACAGTTTTCCTATGTTGGTGGAAAAGTCAGTATGTTTAGTCACTATATCAGTGCAACTTCTAAAACCCAGATTTTCTTTCCAAGATCATCCTCAATTATTACACTGTCAGTTAACAGTCCACCATTCATTACTATTTCCAAATATTCTACAGACAGACCTTTCATTAATTTAGGTCTGTAATTCACTGTAAAAGAGCCACCCTTGAAAGCATTTTCCTCTACTTGAAAGGCCAAGTTTCCATAGATAAAGAATGCATGTAACTCCCTTTGCTGGCTGAGTCAGATAGATAATGGATGGTGTATACTATGCAACACTAGGAATTACAGCCTGACTCATTAGACACAGCATTGTTATCCAATATCTTAAAACCCTATATTTTGTTTTGCTGAATAAATTCTCCTTTAAAAAAATTAAACCAGCAGGGGTATTGGTAACCAGAGCAATCTTTGGACTAGATTTAGCTGTATATGTAGTCAGTGTGGAATCAGAAAAAGAATCAATAAAGGAATCAGGTGTCCAGTAATTCTAGACACCCGAATAGTAAGAAGATGTTCATTTATCTAATGTTTATCTGGAAGAGAGTTTCCACAACTGAGTCAATATTATTTTTGGAAACCTTTATTGCTCCATGTTCTGCTGCTTCTTCTCCCACTCCAATCATGTATCTCATCTTAGATCAATAAAACAAAATTAGCCAGAAGGAGAATAGGTTAGATAAAACAAAGGCTTGCGAAAGCAGAAGCATGACAGAGGCAAGCAACCCTGAAAGAAAAATCACTGCAGAATAAAGCAGCAGACCAAGACATCTCTGGGCATCCCATGGGATAGCAAACTTTGTCAAGTATTATTTGCACATGGTTGAGTCAGTAAGGCACGTTTGATTATAGAACATATCTTTGCAGGTCAGATTATATTTTGCTTCAGTACACCTCTTGCTTGGTCTGCAAGGAAGCTACAAAAAGAAAGGGGGGGGGCTGGGAGAACTGTGTCTAGGATTGTTTTTATCCTCACATAGCAGCTGTCACTCTGCTATTATTAGCACCTCAGTATAGCAGCATCCAGAAAACCCTGGAAGCAAGGAATAAAAACATTGGGCTAGGATTATAAGCACACATGCAAGCTCATAAGCAAACTGGCTATAACCAAAGACACTAATCCTATCTGCCTGAATAATGGAAGGGCAAGCTAGGATCCTTTGATTTTCAAATTCAGTAACGCCAGTAGCCATTTCCAATGACCTTCAAGTAAAAATGGAGCGCAGTAGACCCAAACAGCCATAAGTGGCTACACAATGCCCATATAATTGGACTTGAGCCATGGGAAGGACAATCCCCAGAGCTACTTGTTTATATTATCCTAGTACTGATACTAGTATCTAGTCTGGAAGACATGAGTTAAGCTCAGGTCTTAGGGACACCACAGAGACATCTGCATAGTTTTCTGGACAGTTGTACAAAAATACCTGGATGTTACCATCTTCCCAAATGTTTGTTCAACTTCCAGGGCCAACCTAGAACCCTGGGTTTTCTGGGAGTATCCTCTGCAAATACTAACCAGGAATAATCCTGCTTGGCTTTTCATCCTCCAGTAACTGCCATCTGATGAAGACACATATATTGGTTCACTATTACTCAGTTCTATTGCATAGTTTCATGAGATGCAAATATGAGTCATTGTTATGCAGAACAAAAGCACAAAAAAATAAATTCTATTACTGTTCATACACAATTAAGAAAAAAAAGTTGCCATGTGCAAATATGGGACACAGACCTAAGACAAATCTTAGACCCTTGATGCATACATTTATATGGTAAATAATAGACTTGAAGGAATTATCAGTCTTTCCGTTCTTTTTAAAGTATTACCATTTTAAATACAAACCACCAAGAGTTATTGTGGTGGAATATACAGTAAATGTAATAAACCAGCAATTAAATATTAATTTCAACCTAAGTTCCTAAGAAGCTAGCAGCAGAATTCAACTTTTACAATCTGTACTGCATGAAGCAGAATGAACAGTTGTCTTGAACTGAAGGAAAAACAGTGATTCTCTATTTTCTATTCTAATCAGATTTGATTTATATCAGATTAGATATAGTTCTATTTCCAGTGAAGCACTGAATATATTTTACTCCTAACATAGTTCTGTTGAGTCTGATAAAGTTGACTTCTTGACAAGCATATTGAGAATTGCAATTCTAGGTCAAGAAGTAATAGGAGGGGGCTTTTGAATCTTCTGGCTGTAAGTTTAGAAAAGTTGTATGGTTTTATTCTATTACGGTAATTATTACATTATGATCATTAGCATCTGAACCTACTTTAGAAACATGATTACATGAAGGAACAAATTGCAGGCTTGACCTCAAGAATCTCTGTTTACATTTAAACAGATCCCCAGGGACCACTTCAGATCTATTTGTCACTCCTTCTTTATTCTCCATGCCTGCCTTATGGAAAGGTCTAAAGTTGAATTAAGCCCCAGACGATTGTGATGAACTTGGCCTGCAGGAAAACTAATCCCATTAGTGCAGGAGATCAGGTCTCAGCAGTTGATTTACCCTCATTTAATACTGAACTGTCTACCTAGTTTAAACTCCTTAAGATGCATGATCCTATTTACCAAGCAGACTACTACTGTATCTTGCTAAGATAAAATTACATTAATGAAAATACAAAAGGGAATAATTGTGGAAGGACTGTATATACATTCAGCACAGGTTTCAAATTCAAATATAGATTTATCTCTAGGTATTACAAGAGGTGGGGAAGATTGGTATCAGAGAAAAATATGTATAATTGTGAAACTTTGCTTTTGTAAAAAGCAAAAGTCCTTGAGTCTTAATTGGAGCATGAGTCACGTATGATTAAATAAAGCAAAATATAAATGCATGTATATTGGACTATCTAATTGGACTATCGCAAAACGGTGCTTTGTATGCCAGGAGTGGAATCTGATAATAACAGTTTAGCCACACAGCTCAAACTCCTCACAAAGGATGCTATGGGAAAGGAGTTACATATGTGACTTAACTGCCTTTCATCTATTTAGAAGTCATAGCAAGATTCTGACAAGGAAACTTTATTACTGCTTTAGCAATTGTGGAAACGGCTCACAGAATTCAGCTGGGAAAGTGGGTGCAGGCGAGGTCAGTTCCCTCTGCAAAATAAGAATTGGGGAATAGAGAGGAAATCAAAATTCCACCAATGGGGGCAAGAAGATGGATATCAAAGAAAGGGAGGCTTGTTCCTCGGGCTAACAGCTGTGAGGGGGGGAGAGCCCATTCTAAGAGGACGGCAGATGCAAGGGTATCTCCCAAGCAAGGAAATAGTAAGAGAGCAAAGAACAAAACTCCCAAGGAAATACTAGTCCGGCTGTGGAGCCAAAAAGGAGGTCTGTCTGAAGGAACCACCTGTCAGATGGATCAAGTCAGGAGGCTTAAGACTGGAGTCATGTCAGGAGCCGGACTAGCTGAGGGCAAGGGAAAGCTCAACCCAGGAATCTATCAAATGCCTGAGGGAAGAGAGAATCAGCAGAGGTTGATTAAAATCTGCAGAAGGAATGCTGCAAGATTTATAGTCAGAGTCTAGAAATGCTATGTGAGCACCACAACTCCTTTGAAAAGCCCTCTGCATCATCAAGCATAAATGCTTTGTGCTGAGCAAAAGAGCAGCCTGAAAAATCAGGGTTTAATTTGCTAGTACTTCATAATGATTATTGGCTTCCTAGGTTTACCATCGAAGAAAGCAAAAAAGAAACAACCACCCAGGGAATTAAAAAAACAGTTTTCGGGAAGTCCTTGATTTACAACCATTCATTTAGTGGCCATTCAAAGTTACAACAGCACTGAATAAAGGGATCTACGACCATTTTTCACACTGACAACCGTTGTAGCATCCCTGCAGTCACGTGATCAAAATTCGGATGCTTGGCCACCAGGATGTATTTATGGTAGTTGTAGTGTCCTAGGATCATGTAATCACCTTTTGCAACCTTCTGACAATCAAAGTCCATCCATCTGAAGCCAGATTCATGAACAACTGCAGGGATTCATTTAACGGCTACAGCAAAAAAGCTTGTAAAATGGGGCAAAACTCACTTAAGAACCGTGTCAATTGTCTGCTTTTGGGTTTGGATGGCGCATACTTATGAGACTACCAACATCATGGGTATCTTGCATAAAATCCATTAAAATAAGAAAGTCCTATCCCTGTTCTCAGGCTTTCAGGACAGGGAAACTGGTAAAAAACACAGAAGAGCAGAGAAAATATTATCCCACAATCCGAGTGTTAAATGAATATATTTGCATTTTGTACATATTGGTACATTTGTATAAGACACATGCTCATAAGAACATTTGTGACTGAGGAAGTGAACAAAGAGCCACTAGTAAATTCTGCTCCACC